AGGCTTTTCTCTTGGAGGTTGAAGGTAGAGTAGAAGAAGCCCCTGGCTCGAAGGTTTGTTCTGTGCCCCGCCCAAAGCTTTACCCTGAAGTCTTGGTGTCCAGCTCGTCTGTTCTCCGACGAGTAGCAGTGGAAGGGTGGTCTTAGTGGCAGAAAGGGTGATAGAAGATTGGATGAAAGTTTTAGAAGATTTAGCAGAGAGGTTGGGATTAGAGGAAGATGTAATGTTGCTGCCTTTTGCTGAAAAGAAAGCCTTACTAGATATTGGAGATAAGAATCTGTTCTTCAGTTCTTTCCTTGTAGAAGGAAGTTTGTTTAAGGTCCAGAACTGGGCTCCAGATTGCAATGAAGTTGAACCCAGAGCCGACAGTTTTTTGATTAAACTTCTCGGTCTTCCCTTCAACCTTTGGAATGATCTTATTCTGGGGAATATTACTAGAGCGTTGGGTGGAGTTCTGTTGGAGGCTAACTTAGGAAACTTGAGAGCGGTGGAACTTAAGGTTGCTGGGATCAAACCGGAGAACTTGTCGCGGTTCTTCGAATTTCTCTCAGAAGGTGCTTGGTACAAGGTCTGGTTAGCTTCAGAAGTTGAAGCCTTGCTTTGGGGAAGACGACTAGAGGTTGAAGGAACTGGCGAGTTCGCAGGGGGGTGTACACGTGGCCTTTAGGGGCTGGCGGGAAAGCCTGTTGTGTGTGGGCGATTTACAGAGGAAGGGGAACAGTGGCAGGGGCGCCCCAAGTCTCGAAGCCTTCCTATTAAGGCTTCTTTTTCAAATTTTTTTGAAGAGGGGTTGTTTAAAGAGGGTGGCCCGTCCTTTGCTGACGTGGCTAAGTTGGGAAAGAGCCGTTTGTGCTCTAAGTCTCTCTCCGAACCGGCTTTAAGAAAGGTTGAGCCAGTCGGGCCAGTGGTTGAGCATTCTTTCAGTTTTAAAAGCCCACGTGACAACTTAAGTCATCACGTGGGGCGGGGCAGGCATGGGGCGATGATAGATGCTGACGTGGCTAAGTTGGGAAAGAGCCGTTTGTGCTCTAAGTCTCTCTCCGAACCGGCTTTAAGAAAGGTCGAGCCGGTCGGGCCAGTGGTTGAGCATTCTTTCAGTTTTAAAAGCCCACGTGACAACTTAAGTCATCACGTGGGGTGGGGCAGGCATGGGGCGATGATAGATGACAACCTTCATCTATCATCGTCTAAGTCTCGCCCTCTCGACTGTGGAGGGGCGGAGTCAGTGAACAAGGTTGGAGAACGCCGACCTCTGTGCTGGGTCCGACGGGCAGCCGACGACGAGCAAAATCTCAGCATTTCTGATCGCCCGAACCCGCGTTATTCGAGAGACAGACCATAAGAGAAAGAAGAGGCTGATCAAGGTTGGTTGAGCTGCGGTTCAGATTCTGATCATGATGAAAATTCAGATGCCTGTGGGAGTTTAGGCAGTGCGGCAGTTGAAGCTCTTTCTAAAGGTTAGAACATGGATTCATTTAGCCTGGACTGTTTGTTCTTAGGGGATTCGGTGGGGGAAGGAAAGGTGGAGGGGGAGGAGCGGGTGTTTGATTTTAACCCAATACTGGCTGAGCCCCCCCTCAGTTCTAGTGCTTTGCAAGAGGCCGAAAAGGAGGTTGCTCGGGTCTTCTCAGAGCAGAACAAGGGTACTTCACAGAGAG